AAAAACCCCCACAACCACCTACCTCGACTCTCGACCTATGAATGCCGTAATAGGAGCCCAATCACCACCTGGAGAAGAGACGGAGCTTCAACTGCCAAGAGAGACCCGCGTTACCCTGGCTCAATTACGGTCTGGATACTGTAGCCGCCTCAACAGCTAGCTGTCCAGACTCGACCCTAATATCCCCAATGAGTGCCAGGCATGTGGAGAATCACCCCACGACACCAACCACCTCTTTACATGCCAGCTCAATCCGACTCAGCTAACACCCCTCTCCCTCTGGTCCGAACCCATTGAAACAGCTGGTTTCCTCGGCCTCCCGTTAGTTTAGCCTTACGAAAATGATTGAACGTAGACCCGAAAAAAGCGGGGCTTAGTAGTGCCGCTACAACAACAACAACATCCCCGTATCAGAGATCTCAACACGGAGATTCGGCAACTAGTGAACGTACATAAGCGGAGGAAGTGGGAAGAGTATCTGACGCTTGTAACTTCACCTCTGGTGTGAGTAAGCTTTGGACAACCGTGAGGTCACTGTCCAATCCGACGAAGCACACCGACAGGGTTGAAATTTCTCTCGGTGATCATGCATCGATGCGCGAGCTATTTTAGCCGGCAGTTCATACTGCATCCCCCGGTGGACAAAGCCAAGCGTCGAGTGACTAGAAGGCTGCACAAACTGCTAACAACTTGTGCCCGCCTTGCTTTCATTTGTGCTGAAGTTCACGTGGCCCTCGGGAAGGCGAAAGCCTCCAAAGCCATGGGTCCCGACGGAATATGCATGTTGATGATGATACAGCCAGACGATTTATCATCACAATTTTTACTTGCGTCTACAGTATTTTTGCGTAGAATTCCTTTCTGCGTAGGCGGCCTTCGGCCGCGCTTTAGGATTATAACCCTTACCAAATAGAATTCTCCTTTTGGTGTGTACCAACTGGGGATACCGCCCCAGTGATGTAGCCTTGGGAAGGGATGAGGTAACTAGAATTCCCTTTCTGTGTGGTAAACCTGGGGCTGCTGCCCCAGTGATGTCTATTATGGTTACTTGTTACCCTTTTTTAAGGTTTCTAAATTTTTTTAAATAGAGCCGCAGGCAAAAATTTTTAATAAAAAATCGCGCGATTTTTAATTCCAAATTTTCCTTTTTTTAAATATTTTATATTATAAAAACTATCGACGCAGGCGTAAATATTTGCTTTTTTAATATTGTTTATTAAAAAATGCAAAAAATATGGTTTATTATGTATTTTTCGAAGAAAAACATACATTTTTCTTAAACAAAATGGCCATAATTAAAATTTTTTTAGAAGTTTGTTTTTTAAAAAGCACATATTCAAACCTACCCTTATGTTGTGGAGCCCATTATGAAATATACAGTATCGGTCATATCTATAGCACGCCATTTCAAAGTGATATTGTGTGCAACTTATGTTTATTTATTTATTTTTGAGAATTTTCCATTAAAATACAGTTCTTTCTCTAACAAACCTCATGTAAAAACAAGTTTAATAATTTGTAGAAAACTTCAAAAAAGTGCAACAAATTTTCACCCAAATTTCAAACTTTTTTCTCAGAAGTGTTTGAATTTTTCTGAATACACAGTTTTATAGCCCAACCAATTTTAGTCTGAAGTTGCTAAAAGTTACCGTTGATTTTTTAGAATTTTTTTCGCCAAAGGTGTTGCGGATTTCTTCCATATACAAATAAATTGAGTTTATTCATTATATGGAAGCCAATGCGACAAAAAAAATCTAAAAAATTAACGGTAATTCGTAGCCCCTTGAAATTCGCACATTATCAGACTAAAATTGCAGGGGCTAAAAAACTGTGTACTCAAAAAAATTCTAGCACTTCCGAGAAAAAAGTTAGAATTTTAGGTGAAATTTTGTTGCACTTTTTTGAAGTTTTCTACAAATTGTTGAACTTGGGTTTATATGGGGTTTGTTAGAGAAAGAACTGTATTTTAATTGAAAATTCTTAAAAATAAATAAATACACATAAGTGGCACACAATATCACTTTGAAATGGCGTGCTATAGATATGACCGATACTGTAAGTTGAGTATTTTACTATCCGTAATTTTCGAACACGTGGTAGCAC